ATCATTTTATCAGTTACTTGCGAAACAAGAATTGTGGTTCACAACCTAGATGGAAATGAACACCCCATCCGAACAGTTGTAGTTTCAACGGTACAGTTGGTCTTGACTGATTAGTCATTTATGTATTGAACAGGATCCCAAAGAGGAGAAGTTCGTTCTATAATGATCGTCGTAAACGAACTAGGCCTCGATTAATTACTGTTAGATATGCATAATAGAACCCAACAACTACTGCATTCTCTTAACCCGTAAGATATTAAACAGGCATATACATGCAGTACATGGATTAATATTCCTACTGTCTTGGGTAATATTGCTATATGTATGATGTGCTGTTAGGATATTTACAGTCGTCATGTGCGTTAGTTTGATGATGTCCCCAAAGTGAGTTCATGAAAGATTATTATGTTAAACCCTGCAGGTGGATTAAGTTCCGGCATAATAATAATAATGTGATGAACGAGCGTAACTTTGGTGAAATAAATAATATATTAATTACTTCTTGATTGTCAGTAATCGAATTTATTAATGGACATTATATCTTAAAATTGGGAGGAAATTCGGATAATTATAATTGGAGTTTCAATTGCAATTTGGGCTAGGAAAAGGAAGTGCAATAATATTACGTTAGTGAATCGTAATATTATTTAATTAATTGGAGGAGTATGTTTGGCCCACAATTAGTCCAGTAATTAAGAAGCCCTATTCCTAATCTTCTAAGAATCCCTAATGTAGTTCTATATATACATCATTAAGCTCATGAGAATAGAATAGAGCAGAACACCACCATTCACGTGGAATACACGCCGCGCGCCCCTTTCTCTCTCTCTCTCTCTCTCTCAGTTCTCATTCGAGCTTTATCTTCTTCTTGTTGCTCCACCGGTACAAGTTGAAGAGGTGTGTGAGTAATACAGTAGAAGATCTCGAGGTAATCGAGACCCTGCGATCAACATATATTCGTCAACCCCGGAAGCCGGCAGCCAACCAACCGTCGACCGTCGTGAGCCCACGACAGCCGACGGAGCGCCGCCGTGAGAAGCCAGAGCCGACGCGACGATCTTCAGTGACCCACGACGCGACCCCGCGCAACAACACGACCGCACTCGACGACAGCCCACACGACCCGTTCGCGATCCCGACCCGGTTGATCCAGTTCCTTTCGTGTGTTGTTCTCGGTCATTTCGAATCCATCAGATTCAGAAAATTTTAAGCCGTAAGTTTTCTACGTCAAACCTTTAGATCCGTTGCGCATAGGTTTACGTTTGCTATTGAATTCGTAACTTGTACATAACGAGATCCTCATATATCCCAACACTCTTAACACGTAAGACGATAAACGAGCATTTGTAATCTAGACCGGAGCCGCTCCTGAAAAATTAGAGGCCCTGGGTTGAATGATAAATAGTGCCCATATTATTTTATAATTCATAAATTATTTATCATAGTATTAAAGAATACTGAAGAATGGAGATTATAAATAAAATTTTATTAAAGAAAAAGTTGACNCAAGTGCTAGCGCCTATCAATTAAATTAATTTTTTGACAAAAATAATTAGTGAAGTGCGTCGAGGCTTCATTTCCTAAAATTTCTAGGAACGGACTTGGTGACTATAATAGTAAAACCTTGTGTTTGATTTTATAAAAATGGAGTTTTCAAATAAGGTATACATTAAATATACTCGTCTATTTTTGTTACTATTTTTTGTAAATACTTTCTCTTTATATATATATACATAGATATAATGAAACTATAACAATTATAATAAATATGAGAGAAAAATAAATTATTTACTAATAATAACTAATAATTAAATGTATGTAAGTAACTTATAATAAGAATTTGTTATTCCTTTTTATTAGACATTGAAAATAGGATTTTTTTGTTTCGACCTCTCAAGAACCCCTCCGATTTTCACACTCCAAAAAGCTCCGCTCCTTTCGACCGATTTGGCCTCTTCCGGCGACGGCGACGCCGTTTCTGCGGCCGTCGCTGGCCGCCCATTCCTCCTTTGCCGTTGTTTTTCCTCGGTTTTGCAGACATAGCATTCTCTTCGTCTTCGTCTCTCCCGTCTGGCGGTGGATCGGGGAACTGCAGCGGTTCCCGATCGTAATCCGGCGTCCTCTGCTCGTTGCGATTGGGTGGCTGTTGGTTAGTTTCTCTAGCTTTATTTGATTCTGTTTGGTGGATTTGGTAATTGGTGAATTTGGGGGTTAGGGTTCGACTGGGCTCTGCGATTTCTCCGTCGGGGTTGTCTGTCAGGGCCTGTTTCGGCCCGTTTGGGTGTAGGGTTGGTGGCACTGAGGGTGGGTGTGGTTTGGACCGCTTAGCCGGGGGTCGGATCCCTGCTGAGTAGTTGGATGATGTGGCGAGAAGGCGATGGTGAGTCTGCGGCTGTGAAAGCGGGTCGGCGATGGTGGTGGTTGGGTGGGGCTCTGGTGGCTGCCATGTGTCTCATGTGGTGGTTGCCGGAGTTGGAGTTCGGGCAGGTAGCAACTATCCTGGTGCAGCTCGGTTTGGGTTGCGTGGGATCCAGTTTTCTCGACATGGGCTAGTGGTGTTAGCCTAGTTAGGGTTATGCTGGTTGGGGTGGCTGAGCCTGTTCTCCTCGGTCAGTGAGTGTTGTCCTTTGGTTGGGTTCGGGGGCGGGGCCCTGCCTCTTGTTAGGCCTTCGGCAGTTTCGGGGGTTGGGGCTTGGCTAGGGGCCTATCCTTTGGTCAGTTGTAGCTGTTTCTTCGGCTTAGTTGTTTCTCCGGGGGAGGGTCGTTTTTATTTCTTCAGTGTGTTCGTTATGTGTGTTGTTTTTTTTCGATTTGTTGTCTTTTTTGTTCGGTGTGTTTTTTGTCTTTGTTTGGAAATGAATACAGGCTAGGCATTGTGCAGTGGCTCTGTTATTTATTTTCCTTTATTTTCGGTTGTGAAGTTCTCTAGGCCGCCATGTGCGTGTCCTCTCAGTTTTCTGTTCCTGTTTTTTTAGGAGTGTTTTTNAAAAGAGAATAACATAATTAAAATTGAACAATTAATATTTTTATCAACACTCAACACATAATTTAGTAAGTCAACTGATAATAATAAATTTGGCAAAATAGATTAATTTTTTAAAAAATTTAATACAAAAATTGGATACAACTATTCCAAACAAGTCTTTAGCGGGCTAGGCTAGACAATTCATTTACAAACTTCATACCTATACAAGCCCATAACAAAGTTGTAAAAGACTAACTAGCATAGCCTAGAGTAGTTGGTTATTAGTAAAATACCAAACTGAAAAGCCTAAACATAATAATAACCATGGGTAGTGATTATTCATGCTGCATTTTAAGGCCCCATTTTATTTTATGGCCCAAACACATATAACCATACGAATAATCACTTTGGTCCCCTCAAAATTTGTGGGCCCTGGGCGGTCGCCCTGCTGGCCCTACCCCAGGGCCGGCCCTGATCTAGACGATAGAACGCAGGCCCAACAAGCTTGCCCTTAAAGTGACCTGGGTGGTTGTCTCTTTTGACCAGCCAGGTGGTGGTCCTCTCCCCATGGGGATCTGTAATTCTCGTGCTTCTTCCATGTCCTCACCCAAATTCTTCCTCTAGTTGTCCTCAACCATGATCTCGAGGTCTTCTACAATTTTATGAGAAAAATCAAGCCCTTGTTAACTAATAAATATTACATACTTCCCACAGACGACATCACTATAATAAGCAAAATGGCTTCAAAATGGGTTTAGACCATTACATCTACGAACCGCCTTTCGCCTTAAGCTTGCCCTTAAAGTGACCTGGGTGGTTGTCTCTTTTGACCAGCCAGGTGGTGGTCCTCTCCTCATGGGGATCTGTAATTCTCATGCTTCTTCCATGTCCTCACCCAAATTCTTCCTCGAGTTGTCCTCAACCATGATCTCGAGGTCTTCTACAATTTTATGAGAAAAATCAAGCCCTTATTAACTAATAAATATTACATACTTCCCACAGACGACATCACTATAATAAGCTAAATGGCTTCAAATTGGGTTTAGACCATTACATCTACGAACCGCCTTTCGCCTTAAGCTCTGGTGACGTACAAAACACGCCAGGGAGGGGTCCAGACAAAAAACCTCCAAACCTCAAGTCACATCGCGCTCGTGGGTTTAAGAAAAATTTATGTTAAGGCGTAATAATGTGTTAAGTTATAGCAAAACTTGTTATTAACCTCCTTTTATAGGGAGCTTATCTTCTTGCCCAAGTAGTCTTCTTACTAGAAATGAGATCATATCGTATCTTGTTTCCAAATATAACACGTCTTAGTGAGATATATTTGAATCCTCAGTATGATATTTTTCCTTCCTTACCACAGTTTTCTAAACTTTAGGTCGTCATAGCTAGGGCTGCACACGAGTCGGGCGGCTTGAGTCAAAGCTCGGCTCGAGCTCGAGTTTGACCGAACTCGAGTCGAGCTCGAGCCCATATTTACATTGTCGAGCGGCTCAAGATATATGGTAAATTACTAAAATACCCCTTCTATATACATAATTTGACAAAGTTGTTTGAAAATTTTCGAACCGAACTCGAGCCGAGCTCAAGCATTTTGAATTCGATTCGAGCTCGAGCCGAGCTATTGTATTTTTTTATCAAGTCGAGCTCGAGCCTAAAAAATCGAGCTCGAGCAACTAAAAAAAAAAAATCAATCCTGTTCGATAAGGCCAATGCTCGACTCGGCTCGTCTCGTTTGCAGCCCTATTCATAGCTACCTCGTGACCCATCTACCTCATACCATTACCAGGTCGAAGGCACGACCTTCACTTGTACGGCCTTCAGGTCGTAATAACCCTCATCCATCCGAGCTCCATTATTCAAGTCGACTCATACCTTGAGCTACTACATCGAGCTCTCTGACGCAATCAATCTCGAATATCGAGCTAAAGCTCTCTGGAACCGACCAACCACGAACTAACCACTCACACTGATTCACCGAGCTATCAAGGATTATATATTAAATCTAATAACATTTCAAAATGCAAAAGAACTTTGCACCCCTATATATGCAACATACCGCCCAACACAAAAGACACAAGTATTACATGACGAAAACAGAATACAACCACAACCATAAAAAACGAAGGGCACCTAATTTCCATCGAATCTTAAGCTATCATAGTTTCGTCGCTGCACACAAGCATTCAAGCAGAGTACAGTTAATCAACTAGAAGAGTTATAAAGCTAATCAGTGGCTCGGTACCAACAAAGAAGGTGCGGCCCCAGGACAAAAAGGATTTTATACACTGAACAAAAAAAGTAAGTGTTGTGTGAATGAGATTATCTCCGCTTGCTCTTTGTCTTCGTGGATCGTGCTTTGCAGCTATCGTCCGGTGGCTTCCAGATAATATCATCGAGATTATTACAGAACTTCTTGTAGAACTGCAAAATAAGAGTATCAGTATATGGTGGGGGCAAAGAAAAAGGAATAGTTATTCATACAAAACCCCCTCAGGAGATCTAGTCCAATTACGAACACAGCTACTTTTGAAAAATCCAAGCTCCACTCTTGTTATCTGTATTCAAAACATGAATGTATTTGTGCATAGAGGGTAATTTTTTAGAGATAGTTGGATTTCCTTATATTTTTTTCCCTTTCTTCAGTTCTTGCCTATAGATATATCTCCTAGGTATTAATTTTCTAATAAAAACAGGAAGTGTTGTAGTTCTTAGAGAGAACCGATTTTTCTTTATTAATTTTCAATTATCATTGCAATTAGACGAAACATGGAGATTGAGATAAAAACAAATACCTTGAGATATTCCTCAGCATCTCCTGCTGCTCTCTGAATATCGACCATGATAAATGTGGGAGCAACTTGAAAGATCTGTTCACAAAAGTATTCGGATTTCTACAAATTGTGACGAAAATATAAGAAAGAAAAGATTCAGTCGGTGAGCGAATAGGTACCTCCATAATTACAGAGAAATGTGAAGTCCTATCCGTAGAAAGGCCTTCAACTCTCATCTGCACAAACAGCAACTTACTTAAATAAATTCAGGACCAGAAATTCATTCAATACAACCAATTGGGTCATTTTGATATTGTAGTTCTAAACTATAACAGGCAATAAAGGATATTTTCAACTAACAGTTTGAGGCAAAAACTTATTGTAATTTACTAATTTTATAAGTTGGCTGGTGGTGGTTGTAAATAACCGAAAACACCCGAGATTATTTTCCCAGAATCATCTCATTTCTTTGTCTTCATTTCTTTTTCTCTTTTAAAAGATCAATGGTATTATCATTATTATTCAACACCATCCCAGATAACACACAAAATTTCAAAACCTCAACCATTTTTCACCTTATAATTACGAATATGCGTCTTGAAACCCATTGATTGTGCAACAACTTCCATACTTGACAGGACAACCTTTGCTGATCTTTGTGAAACAAACCGTGTTTGATGTTTCAGTGAATCCTGTAACAAGCAATAATTAATAAACATTTACAGGCTTGCAACATAGATTTCGACACTATATTAAATATATATTAGATATCAATACTATTCAGAATTATAAGGACTTGGCATTAAAAGTAATCGGAATTATAAGGACATAGTATTAAAATATGTCATAATCAATGGTACAAGAGAGGTGATTTAATGAGTTGTTGGGAAGAGAATTTGATTGAATAACTTATCTCCCAATGATTTCTTATCATGAGACAAAAGACATTGAACAGCCCATAGTGAGAAATGATAAATCTATCTCTAATCACAAGAAAATCATCCTCGAAAAACATCAATTTAAAAACTATGTTTATTTTTTTCAATGAAACCATTCAATTGTGAACTATAATGTTTCGAGCTTAGTTTAACTGAAAAACAGATGTCTAAAGAAAAAAAGGGAAAATAGATTGACTTTGGAACCAATTTCAAAATTCGGTTAAATAATTAGTAATACATGATCGGAGAGCAATAAAAAATAGTTAATTTTTATATTAGCCAAGTATTTCAGAACATAAAAAGTCCTAACCTACAGTCTGTTTTGAAAGTTCTTACCTATATGGATATCATAACCTACTTTCAAGCATTATATATATATATATATATATATATATATATTGACATATAGGATCACAAAGCACCAAAGTATGACACTTAGGATTAGGAAACTCCACATTTATATAAAAGGGGGCATAAACATATGTAGTCATTTTTTCACCTTCCTGCGATCAAACAGTGCCGAAAGATTCAAGCCCTGAGAGAGAATAATCAAATCGAATGCATTGAGAACGAGAGGCCCCATATCTTCATTCCCACATTGCTGATTAGGGAATTCTTCCTACACAATAACAATGTACATAAAGTTATGAAGAGATAAAAATGAAGTCGGGTATCAAAGAAAATAATAAGCTTAATATCCAGAAAAAACAAACTTTTAAATATACAT